ATGCTTACCCTACCTAACATATCCTATTAGAAGGTGGGATGGTCGAGCGGTCAAGGATTGTATTTTTTTATTCCTCCGCGCGAGCGGCACCTGTATAAAATTCCTGCCGAAAGGCGTTCCTAAATTCCTGTAGGAGTGCATGGGTGCGTTCTTTAATAGCGGACTCTCCGCTACTACGGGAGTGCGCTGCTGTTTGTTGGCATTTAGGAACGACGGTGAAAGAAAGAAAGATGGCGGCGCTCGCACTATCGATAGTATCGTGATGGACGAGTCTATAATTCTAAAATATGAGCTTTTAAAGGCAAAAGAAGGGTCCACGATAAAACCTGTGTCCTCAGCTACAAAGGAAGTTTCTCCACGTATACCTTCTTCTCAGGAAGAATCTGAAGTGCCTACACATACCAATGATAAGAAGAAGAATAAGGCAGCAAGTGCTCCTTCTGGTAGCACTCCGGTCGGCAAGGGACTGCGGTCTTCCTGCCTCAACGACTCTCTCATCACAGGCATGACTTCCCCAATGCCTATTCTCCTGCCGCCTAAAACGAGCTGTTTGTCTGACCACTATCACCCAGATCTCAACCACAAACTGACAGAAATAATCACTAAGTTGGATGGTCTTACCAAAAGTAATGACAACATTACCAAAAATGTTAATAGCATAGCGGAGACGCTATGTCATAATGCCCCTAAAGAACAAATTGAGAATATAACTGGGAAGCTCGAAAAGCTCCTGAACAATGGTCCTGTGCAAGAAATTCTGAAAAACCAAACGTGCATACAGGAAAAAATGGAATTGTTCCGCACCTCTCCAGCAACCTACAGCACCATTCTCCAATCCGGGAAGACTCTAAACCTTACCAATAACCCAAAAACCACAAAGACTCCCACTGGCAGCACTGTGGTAATACTGCTATATCATAGGAGCGATGACAGAAGTTGTAATAAACTGAGGAAAATAATATATGATAAGGTGAAACCATCCCNCTGTTCCCAAGCCTGGGAACACTTCTGAAAGCAGGCCTATCTCTCTCTTGCCAGTTCTTGGCAAAATCCTTGAAAAGCTGGTAAACAATAGGTTAATGTGGCACCTAGAGTCCAATAACATTCTCCATGACTCTCAGTTTGGCTTTCGGCCACAGAGGTCAACTGCTGATGCCATCAATAAAGCTGTCAACTCGGTGAACCACCTTCTTGAAGATTATAATTACGTTCTGGCCATCAGCCTGGACATCGTCAAGGCGTTTGACAGTGCCTGGTGGCCAATGATCCTTCAAAACCTCAGAAATATGAACTGCCCGGCAAATATATATAATCTACTACGTGATTATTTAAAAGACAGAACGGCTACTCTTCAATGTGGAGGACACATCATTCGACGAAAAATCGTCCGCGGCTGCCCTCAGGGTTCTGTATGTGGACCGATTCTTTGGAATGTGATTTTTAATGACTTTTTTGTTCAAGACTTTGGACAGCATTGCATCGTGGCCTATGCTGACGATGCCCTGGTCCTTCTTGGAGGCAGCTCTAGAGCAGCCTTAGAAAAGAATGGCAATAATATCCTGGACAAAATACTAAAATGGGGGAAAGAGTACAAACTGGAATTTAATGCCCGAAAAACCAAGTGCGTTGTGTTCAATAAACCCGGAAACAGAAATCTCTATTTGCGTGTTCCCACAATTAAAATGGCTGGACAAACAATTCCTGTAGACAAGAACATTAAGTACCTGGGTGTGGTTCTGGATCACAGGCTGCTCTGGAACGCCCATACTGAGTATATCACCGCACGGACTGGCAGGATTTTTCATACTTTTGCTGTCATTGCAAGGCAACGTTGGGGATTGAACTCGGAAGCCATGGATACCATATACAACCAGATCTTTGTCCCAATCATCACATACGCCTGCGGCAGCTGGGGGTGGGCTGTTCGCAAGGTGCACATCAAGCGCAAACTTATTGCTGCACAAAGAACTGCCTTAATGCATATTACCAAAGCTTACTCCACAACCCCAAACCCTTCTCTTCAAATCCTTGCGAGGAAGGCACCTATTGACAGTTACATCCGACTACAAGAGAAAATCTGGCAGTTAAAGTGGGGCAACACCATCCATGTCAATAATCAACAAATACATCGTCAAGAGTTAGAACGACCAGTCCAATTCGCTGATACTAAACACCCTGCTTCTCTTAAGAAACTAAACTTCTCGCGACCTGATGATGCTGATATTCAAATCTTTACAGATGGATCTAAGACCAATTCTAATGTGGGCAGTAGCTATGTGGTCTACCGGGACAATGTGGAGACTGCCTCAGGGCAGTTCAAGCTTGGTGCCGGCTGCACAGCCTTTCAGGCTGAAATGTATGCAATCAAAATGGCCATTGCCTGGTCTGACTCAAATTATACCAATACTAAAGTGTCCATCATCTCAGACAGTCAATCCTCTATAGCCTTGCTCAATAGTCAAGCTTCTCACCCTATCTCAGCTAGTATCCACGACATCATTAACAATTCCAATAATATCTATCACGTCAGCTGGACTCGTGCCCATCAGGGCACACTTGGTAATGAGAGGGCCGACATACTTGCAAAGACTGCCAGTGAAGACGACAATCTCCGGATCTGCTATAATAGCCCTACCATTAAAACTATCAAGAATATGCTTTGGAAAGACCTACTTCAGCAGTGGCAACATGATTGGAACACGCTTAACCATCCAATTACTCACAAATTTATTCCCAATATTGAACTATTTCTCTCAAACAATTGGTACAAACCATGTCATCGTATGTCTCAATTTTTAACAAATCATGGCAGGTTCCAGTCTTACCTGGCCAGATTTATCGGAGCTGCAAACTCTGATTGTCCTCTTTGTGGTGTGGACGACAGCTCGGATCATTATATCTTCAACTGTCCTATGTTGGATCACGAAAGGCACTTTCTGAGGTCCTCTATGGAGGCGCACGGATACCGCTGGCCCAATGAATCCCACGGTATCCTGGACAATAAAGACGCCTATGAGGCCCTCACAAGGCTCATCAGTGCATACTTTTATCGCACCACCGTTCCTGGATACAAATAACCTTTCTCATTATCTCATTAACGGTGTTGTATTGTCTTATTTTTATTGCTACAGGTACTATTACTTTGTAACACACTGTTTTCTTTTTTTTTATAATTTCTTAACGTATTATATGTTTTGCTTACTGAATTTTATATTATTGTTTATGTATTTTAATTTTCTCAAATAAGTTATTGTAAATTTAGTTAATTGCTATTGTATCATGTTTCTACTGAAATATTGTGTTATACTTTGTCTGCATTATTATTCTATAATGTATTGTATTTTGTTATTTACATTCTGTATTTTGTGATTCTCTGCTGTATAATATTTCAATGCATATGTTTTCTGTATCACACAACTTGTTATTTTATCCCCATCTTTTGTATATACTACACATGTAATGTTACTGTAGCCTCTAATGTTAATGATCTGTAATAATGCCAATATGTTCTTGTCTGCACCTGGTTATATGTATATGGCACCAGGTATGTACTGTAACTCAGTATTTTATTAATAAAATGAATCTGAATCTGAATCTGTAAAATTTAACCATAAAATGGATTATTTCTTGAAAGAGCATTCGAAATAGCCACGAAAAAAATTAGAATGCCGGCTACCATCCGAAAAAAATTCGAAAAGACACTTACATCACCGCGTGCACTAACTCGCGCTTTCACTTCTAAATTTTCATTCATAAAACCAGACGATGGACCCCGAAACGAAACTGTCTGAGCCATGGAGGACGCCATGTTGCTTTCCACCGTAAACTAGTGCTACAAGCGGCCGTTTTTGCCGTTCGATGGCGCGCACTCCTACCGGAATTTCCTGCGGAACGCGTTTCGCAGGAATTTTTAAACGGATGTCGCTCGCGTGGAGTTATGCAGAGAAATAAAAGAACGCCCCCATGCTGTTGGACGGCAAAAACGGCACGCTTGTAGCGTGGAAAGCAACATGGCGTCCTCCATGGCTCAAATATAAAAACTTACTTGTAAAAATAAAATGTGTGGTGAATATACAATTATACATACCTGGTACAAAATATTCAATNTTTTTATTTTGAATTTCTTGTTCCTATAATAAAAACTCTTGTTTTTTGTTTCCTTTTTCGCCTTGTGGGCAATAAGAGGACCTCTTTTAGCAAGTCCATTAGGTAAGGTGATCAGATTTTATGATTGGTGAAGCGGGACAAAATTGAAGTGGGGAGTGGCTGTCTTGTTGAAAAAAAATTGTTCTAGAGCAACAACATTTTATCATAAAGAACGCAAAAATTGTATTGTATTATATATATTTTTTTAATTTTAACATATGTAAAATTTACAAATATAATAAATATATATACTATTATAAATCTTGAAAACCTCTTTATTCTTTCGCATATTTCTCAGTTGAGTGAATATTTTAGTAGGTTGCTGTCGTTTAAAATGTCGTGAAATTTTTCGCAAGAACTTGTTAAATATATTTCACACATAATATGGCTTTCAAACACTTAATTGTGATTTATCAGATGTCTACACTTTATTTACGGTAGAAAAAACGCGTTCAGTCGCTGCATTAGTTCCTCGCAAGGACAGCGTGTATTCCACAATTTTAATGCATTATTATATGGAACATAGTTTGTTTCTTGTTTCAAAATAATGAAATATTTCTAACCATTTGTTCTCTGTTGAGATTTTTGCTACCTATGACAAGTATATGACAAACTATCTTTGACAAACTATATTTAACAATTATTTTAATCTTTCTGTATTTCTTTCTTCTTCTTCTTTATCTTCGCCTTTTTCCATGTTTAAGTGGGATTGGCATTTCCTTCCCTAATACGTTTTTTCCATTTCTCTCTAACAAGGACTTGTTCTCACTTAAGTCTCCTCTGGTTCAAGTCTTCTTCCACCTTATCTTTCCAACGCATCTTTGGTCTTCCTCTTTTCCTCTTTCCTTTTACTATCAGTTTTCCGATCTTCTTTCCAACATAATTGTCACTTCTTCCATCTCAACCCACATTCTTGCATCTTTTTGCTCAAGGGGGCCCACCTTAACAGAACCTCTAATAAAATCATTCCTTATTGTATTCTTCCTTGACACTCCATACACCCATCTCAACATTCTCATCTCCGCCACCTCCATCTTTCTTTCTTGGGCTCTTGTTATTTCCCATGTCTCAGCTCCATATAACATTGCAGATCTAAAAACTGATTTATACAATTTTCCTTTCAGATTGCAGCTAACTTTCTTGACGCATAACACACTGCTCAGCTTCCTCCAGTTCATCCATCCACATTGAATTCTAAGCTGCACCTCCGAGTTCAATCCTCCTCCCAACTCGACAAATGTCCCAAGATATTTAAAACTCGGAACAAAAGGGAGCGGCACATTTTGGATTTTAATATTACACTCGTCTCTACCATTCAGAGTCATATAAGCTGTTTTAGTTCTGCTAATCTTCATGCCTCTTTCTTCCAAAACTTTCCTCCAATCTTCCAGTTTCTTCTCAGCCTTGGTTTGGGAAAGTTCACACAGCACAATGTCATTCGCAAACAGCACACTCTACGGAACTCATATTTGTAAAGGCTACTCACATTCTACACCAGGCCTCCAAGTACTTTTCTCTGATTGCCGTAATAGTTAAATCTTCAACATAGACACCAAGGTTCATTAATGATTTTATTTAAACAATAAATAAGACTCTACAAATCATAAAATATCTTGTAACTGAACAACACTAGCGATCACTAAAAGCATCTAATCTCCGCCATAGGGTTGGGGTTCGGGTGCCACACACCTCACCACTCGAATTACAACGAGAGGAGCTTGCGTCATCCTTGATCTGTCAGGGAAGCATCCCTGACAGATCAGTTAAACAAAATAGAAAAGTAAAACAGTTCATCTTCGGTTCTAACAATCATTCTCTAGGCCGTGCCACCATGCGTGCCATATGTTGCCTTTAGCCTTTAGCGTGCCATATGTTGCCTTTAGCCTTTAGCGTGCCATATGTTGCCTTTAGCCTTTAGGGTGCCATATGTTGCCGACCACTACCCTAAGATTTTTCATATCTGGTCTCGTCTTTCATCTATCTAACACAGTTCTCGAGATTAGGGAAAGACAGATGGACTTGATAACGGCTGTCCTTTATCACTCGTGTTTTGTTTTCTGGAATAATATGATTCTCTTTAATCCGAGCAGTAATTTCGTATGATTTATATTTTTCTAAATATATANGTGAATATACAATTATACATACCTGGTACAAAATATTCAATTGTATGAATATACTTTTAGAGAAACTTATAATTAAATATAGCTTTGTAAAGAAACGTACATAAAAATAACATAAAATCTTTACTTTTTAAAACTTAAAACAATCCACTTAGTCTAACAGCTCCCTATGAGTGGCTAATGGATGAAATCGGAGATGGTCCTGCTGTATATGAATACACGCAGGCTGCCAAATCCCGTGAAAACGACCACGCGTGTGCCTTGTCGTTTTTTCACGTGCTGTATAGAAATTTGTAATAAGATACATAATGCGGTTATAATAAAATATTAATTTTAATTAATCCAAAAGACGTTAAAATACGAAAATAATCGCGTAATATGTATTTATTTATAGAAAATACAAGGAAAGCGGAGCTTCCACGCTTCCAATGACGCCATGCCACTGCATTATGTGGTTTTATGAATGAAAATTTATTATTTATGAAAGCACAAGTTAGTAGAAGATACATCACTGCGATTCGAGAAGATACATCACTGCGTGAGTGATGTATCTTCTCGAATTTTCTCGAATGATACCTGGCATTCTAATTTTTTTTTCGTGGCTACTTTGAACGCTCTGTCAGCAAGATAATCCATTTCATGGTTAAATTTTACAATCGAGACTCTTCTTTGGTCTTTAAACTCAAGGTGGCAGCCTACCACTCTGAGGGACCTGGGATGTGTCCATCTGTCTGAATATGTCAGGCCTCATCCTCACCAACCCGGTCGCCCCTNCAGAAATTTTTGCCCGTTTTGACAGGTGCCCGTCGAATGCAGGTGGTCGCCTAAGCAGTTTTCATTGTAGTATAAATTTATTATAGTGTTATTTAGTTTACATGTTAATTTTTATGTAAGAAATGTTAATACTAATTATTTTCACTTCAGAATATTATATCTTGAGTAGATTTCTAAAAAATACAGCTAAATTTTATTATCATTACTTTTTGATGCCAGGAGCCTCACGTGCTGTTGCAACTTGTAATAGCTATCGTAAACATGTAAATAAACAGGATAAACCGAAAGAATGTGTTAAATGTAATGATCCTAAGGCTGTGTACACAGTAGGCGTTTTTAAACGTGCGTTAGCTCGGCGTTCGACGAGCGTTTGTGGAGCGTACGCACTGGCTCAGTTTGGAAATGGACGTGAAAGTAATTCATTGTGTGTGCCTTCTCCATCGTCGCTATAAAAGACGATAGCAGACACAAGGAGAATTTTGGGTGCACCCAATATTACGAGATGGACTGACTAGGGTTTCTCATTTCCCGGTCTTTTGCTTGTCCCGGGATCCCGGGATAAAAGTGAACTGTTTCCCGGGATAGAATTAATTATTTCTAAGATATACAAAATATCTTGAAATCAAATGATATAATTATTTTCCACTTTTTAAAGTAATTTTAAAGTTCTGTAACTTCCAAAATCATATTAATAATGCTGTATAGGCCTATAATAAAAATTACCTTTAAATAACGTACAAATTTTCACAAATAGAAAAAAATTAATTACAGTTTGCTGGAAACTGCATACAACAACAACAACAAAAATGTTTTGAATTAAGTTAAAAATTAAAAAAATGAACTTCTAATTTAAAAGGTAATTTTCGTTTTTTAAATAAAATATAACACAAAATATTGCAAAGTTTTATAAGATTTTAAAAAGCAAAGATGGTCAACACTCCGATAACTCACTGTAATTCTTATTTTAGTAATGAAAAGTCTTGCCATCGGGAATGCCCTTTCCGATTCAATTGATGTGATTGGAATAGTGTTTAATGCATTTAAGAGAAGACAGATATTATGTGTTTTTTCACCTGTAGCCTGGAAGATTTCGAGATTGTAGTACTTCTTTCGCTCTCTAGTATTCTTGATTTGTCTACCTTGGCTGCTTTAATAGCGGCATCGAGCTTAGAGCTCGGTAATTCGGCAATTCATTTGGCTTTAATAATCAGGTTTATGAAGAAAAACTTCATACTTACAGACTTTATACTCGTTTGTATCCTTGCCCAATTTGCACAATCTGGCGTCAGGCATTTATTGAAGCTACCGGGCATGGTTAAAACTCAAGACGGCGTAAGCACAATTATTCCAGATATTACAGGTTCCGACAAGTAAAGAATTTTTATAGTGCTGCCACAAATAAGCTATATATTGATTATTGACCATTTGTGACATGCTATAACGAACAAAAATTTAAAAAAAAACTAATAGGTAGGTTTAAAATTAATAAATACAAATGTATTCTGACAGTGAATGAGTTAATTATGCTTTCTATTTGCAAAATTCCTCAACCTTAACACAAAATAAGAAAAAAAGTGAATTTTTAAAACATTTGCTGGATTTCCCGGGATAAGAAAAATTTTCCGGGATATTTCCCGGGTTAAAAAAACAACCGGGATCCCGGAATCCCGTAATCCCGTTTGAGAAACCCTAGGACTGACGCATGGAATGTTTGCGACGTTGTATCCAAAACTATGACAAAATGAACTCAAGTTTTTTAATTCTTTTAAAATATCTATAAAATCCTTTGACGATGGTTGGTCTCTTTTAGATTTCATCAATAAATAGATCAATATCGAAATGATCGTTCTCCATTTCGGCCAACGTACGCCCACTCTACCCGAAAACGCGCGATCGAATGTACTGTACAGTAACATGGCAGCACATATATCTCAAAGCGCTCGGCTGACGCCCGCAAAATGCGCGATCGAATGTACAGTAACATGGCAGCACATATATCTCAAAGCGCTCGGCTGACGCCCGCAAAACGCTCGTTTTAACAAAAATCTATAAACGCGCGCTTAACGTGCGTTTGGTCAAAAGCGCGCGTTTGAGTGTGTACGCCTATGTAGAACTCTTGGTTCTTTAAAACGCGCGTTAAAAAACGCCTAGTGTGTACACAGCCTTAAACTTTACAAAATCTTAATTTTAAATTAATATATGAAAATTGTAATAATAAAAAATTTAAAAAAGTATGTACACCTGATTTCTTATAAATTTTTCTTTATGTAAAACTTAATTTGTATATATTGATAATAAAAATCTGTTTATTTTCGGTTTAAAAAAAGTAGCTTGACGATATAAACTAATTCAGATAGCCCAAATTGGCTACTTTTGAAGCACAACTTTGGTACTTTTTGACTTTCTGATCTGGCAACATTGTTCGTGCTGTTCTTCACTTTATTTAAAAATGCCTTTCTGTATGGAACCTGCTTCTGAGAGCTCCGATGTTAATCCATCGGAAATTTTTGAGGAATTGACATGCTTCACATTTTCTGACTATTTTCCCACTGAAGATGCAGCGCAAAAATTTTGTCATCTGGTTGGAATGGTTCCTCATCCGGACTTAACTGGTTTTATTCCGCCTTGTCCTCAGTGCGGAGGTAAGTTTTACTTTTCCTTCATTTCTCATGTGCAGGAGTGTCTTACGCGAGTATCTGTTAGCTAATTCAATTGGTCGTATTTTTCAGGCGCGATGGAGAAAATATTGGATCCATCGGAGAAGTTCGGATACATTTACCGCTGTGAGAAATTAAAAGTAAAGGAAAAAAAGAGGCGACGAACTGGTGGCTTCGTCAGGCGGGCCAAGTGTACCGGCGGGCTCTCTAGTACACAAAATACGTTTTTCGAAGGAGCTAAGCTTTCAGCTAAAAAGGTATGATATCGTGGAATTGGCATTATATTTTCGGTAGCCATATTTTTCTTTGTTCTTTGTCTCGTCTTTCTGGAATGTTCCTGTTTACCCTAAACATTGGGGTGTGCCTGGTGACTCATATCTAAGACAAAAGAAAATCTGTAGCCCGAGGGGTAAACAAGGTTAACAGATTGGACAACTCACAAGGGAACTGTCGGGAGTGTTGGTACCTTTGTTTAAATATTACAAGTTTAATATAGAGTTTTTATACTTTTAAATNTTGAAAATGCCGTTCAATATGGAACCTGCTTCTGAGAGCTCCGATGTCAATCCATCGGAAATTTTTGAAGATTTGACCTGTTTTACGTTTTCGCAATATTTTCCCACTGAAGATGCGGCCCAAAAATTCTGCCATCTCGTGGGAATGGTTCCACATCCGGACTTATCCGGTTTTATTCCGCCTTGTCCTCAATGCGGAGGTAAGTTTTCCTTTTCCTTCATTTCTCATGTGCCAGGAGTGTCTTACGCGAATATCTGTTAGCTAATTCAATTGATCGTATTTTTCAGGCGCAATGGAGAAAAAATTGGATCAATCGGAGAAGTTCGGATATATTTACCGCTGTGTGAAATTAAAAGAAAAAGAAAAAAAGAGGCGACGAACTGGTGGCTTCGTCTGGCGGGCCAAGTGTACCGGCGGGCTCTCTAGTACGCAAAATACGTTTTTTGAAGGATCTAAGCTCTCAGCTAAAAAGGTATGATATCGTGGCATTGGTATTATATTTTCGGTAGCCATATTTTTCTTTGTTCTTTGTCTCTTCTTTCTGGAATATTCCTGTTTGCCCTAAACATTAGGGTGTGCCTGGTGACTCATATCTAAGATAAAAGAAAATCTGTAGCCCGAGGGGTAAACAAGGTTAACAGATTGGACAACTCACAAGGGAACTGTCGGGAGGGTTGGTACCTTTGTTTAAATATTACAAGTTTAATATAGAGTTTTTACACATTTAATAAAAGTTAGTTAATAATTTTATTAACTAAATTTTATTTAAACTTAAAAGTATAAAAACTTTATATTACACTTGTAATATTTCCTCAAAGGGTTAATGTTACCAATGGTGCGAAAACGGCGGCGCTTCGGTTAGGTTCGTTTCGTTTCCGTTAGATTAACTCGCAAAGCAATCAAATGCCATACTGTTTTATAGTAGTTTAGGTAGTTTAACACAAATGTGCAAAATTTTAGTAGTACAATTGTATTTAGTAAATGAGATAATTTTTTATTTAACAGGTCCTAATGCTGATATATGCATGGATCATAGAGCAGCCGGTCACTCTCGCCGCGAGAGAATGTGGCGTGGCCATACAAACAGCGGTAGATTGGTTTAATTTCTGCCGGGAAGTTGCGGAGGTTTTCGTCTCACAACAAGACATCCAGATTGGTGGTGAAAACCTACACGTGGAGGTGACAATCGAACCATCTTTCCGACTTTGCTGTTATGTCTATGTCTATATACAGTACATGTTTTCTTTTCAGATCGACGAAACCTTCATCAGGAGACGGAAATACAACCGCGGACGCGTAACTAAGGGCCACCAATTAACATTATTTGGTGCCTATTGTCGGGAAACGCGAGAGTTGATGTACTGGCATGTAAGTAGTAGCTAAACGTTATTTTTTAGTTTTCGTGGAAGTTCGGTATGCCGGAAGATGCACTGTCCGGCATACATTGGCGCATTTTAGATGTTTTCAGTTATATTTTTCGTATTCTTTCAGGTGGACAACAAAAGTAGGCGTGTTCTGTGGAGCCACATGTACAGATACATCGCTGAAGGTAGCATCATCGTTTCCGACAGCGCGCCACAGTATCGTGGTTGTACGACGATGGGCTTCTCGGATCATAAGACCGTTAATCACAGCCAGCAGGGCCCCGGGAGGTAAATAGGATGAAACTTCTATGTGTTAAGTGAAAGAAATGAACGAGCGTTATCGAAAAGTGACATTTTTATTTTTTCTCTGTGCAGATTCGTCGACATCGATGATCCCGAGGCTCACACTCAAAACATCGAGTGTCGACATCGCTGGCTGAAGAAGTCCATTAAGTCGCTCCGCACGGACAGGAGCCTGCAGAGCTACGCATGTACTTACGTATACAAGACGCGGTTCCTGTCCAAGTTGCCAACACCATCGGCAAAATTCCGGCAGTTCGTCGAGCNTATTTAAACTTAAAAGTATAAAAACTCTATATTAAACTTGTAATATTTCCTCAAAGGGTTAATGTTACCTACGGTGCGAAAATGGCGGCGCTTCGGTTAGGTTCGTTTCGTTTCCGTTAGATTAACCCTCAAAGCAAATGCCGTACTGTTTTATAGTAGTTTAACACAATGTACAAAATTTTGGTAGTAATTGTATGTAATAAGTGAAATAACTTTTTATTTAACAGGTCCTAATGCTGATATATGCATGGATCATAGAGCAGCCGGTCACCCTCGCCGCGAGAGAATGCGGTGTGGCCATTCAAACAGCGGTAGATTGGTTTAATTTCTGCCGGGAAGTTGCGGAGGTTTTCGTCTCTCAACAACAAGACATCAAGATTGGCGGTGAAGGCCTACACGTGGAGGTGACGATCGAACCATCTTTCTGACTTTGCTGTTATGTCTATGTCTATATACATGTTTTCTTTTCAGATCGACGAAACCTTCACCAGGAGACGGAAATACAATCGCGGACGCGTAACTAAGGGCCATCAATTAATCATATTTGGTGCCTATTGTCGGGAAACGCGAGAGTTGATGTACTGGCATGTAAGTAGTAGCTAAATATTATTTTTTAATTTTCGTGGAAGTTCGGTATGCCGGAAGATGCACTGTCCCGCATACATTGGCGCATTTTAGATGTTTTCAGTTATATTTTTCGTATTCTTTCAGGTGGACAACAAAAGTAGGCGTGTTCTGTGGAGCCACATGCACAGATACATCGCTGAAGGTAGCATCATCGTTTCCGACAGCGCTCCACAGTATCGCGGTTGTACGACGATGGGCTTCTCGGATCATAAGACCGTTAATCACAGCCAGCAGGGCCCCGGGAGGTAAATAGGATGAAACTTCTATGTGTTAACTGAAAGAAATGAACGAGCGTTATCGAAAAGTGACATTTTTCTTTTTTTCTCCGTGCAGATTCGTCGACATCGATGATCCCGAGGCTCATACTCAAAACATCGAGTGTCGACATCGCTGGCTGAAGAAGTCCATTAAGTCGCTCCGCACGGACAGGAGCCTGCAGAGCTACGCATGTACTTACGTATACAGGACGCGGTTCCTGTCCCAGTTGCCAACACCATCGGCAAAATTCCGGCAGTTCGTCGAGCATATTGTGGCCGTCTACCCGGGCCCCGGTCGTGAGGGTCTCCAGCTGAAGACGATCGGTGTGCCCGTGGACGAAGATCAGCCACCAGACGAGCCCTATTTTGATGTGCCCGACGAAGAGGAACCGCATGGAGATGACGACTCCCCAGTGAGTAGTGCAACTTTTGTATAGTGCGCGTGACCGAAGGATAGTTCTTTGCAGATGTGAAACGTGGATTATGTGATTTTTCAGACATCTGACGCAACCAACATCACCGTCGACCCAGAGGACCAAGCCGAGGCGGGGACCAGCGGCCTCAAGTCAGCACCAGCATAGACTTATCGAACCATAGACTCACCAAACAGCACCAGCATAGACTCACCAAATAGCGAGAGGACAGGGCCGAGGACAGCGCCTCCTCTTGCGGAAAACGCAGAGGAGGCGCTGTGAAGGTGAGTGTCTGTTTTCTTTGCTTTTTACATCGGCAGTTTAGTTTAGTTCACACTAATTATTATGCCTTTTTGTCTTTTTCTTTTTAGCTATTTATAATTTATTTTGTACACTAGTACTTTCTATATATTAACAGGACTTATTATACTGGAAAATTATGGATGCAGATATCTAGTCTTACAGTTTAAAATAATGTTCTTTATTTATATATATTAATAATAATGTCCTCAAACAGGTGAACTAAATAAAGNAGTTGCCAACACCATCGGCAAAATTCCGGCAGTTCGTCGAGCATATTGTGGCCGTCTACCCGGGCCCCGGTCGTGAGGGTCTCCAGCTGAAGACGATCGGTGTGCCCGTGGACGATCAGCCACCAGACGAGCCCTATTTTGATGTGGCCGACGAAGAGGAACCGCAAGGAGATGACGACCCCCCAGTGCGTAGTGCAACTTGTGTATAGTGACCAAAGGATAGTTCTTTGCAGATGTGAAACCTGGATTATGTGATTTTTCAGACATCGGACGCAACCAACACCACCTTTGTCGACGACCCAGAGGACCCAGTCGAGGCGGGGACCAGCGGCCTCACGTCAGCAACAGCAACAGCGTAGATGTACCAACGTCGCGAAATAGCGAGAGGAGAGGACAGGGCCGAGGACAGCGCCTCCTCTTGCGGGAAACGCAGAGGAGGCGCTGTGAAGGTGAGTGTCTGTTTTTTTTTCCTTTTTACATCGGTAGTTAAGCTTAGTTCACACTAAGCTCGATTCGCTGGCGAAAACGAAAAACATAGCGAATAACATTTCAGACATAACGTCGTTTCCAGCGAATTTCGAGAATCGCTTCGAAGTTCGGAACTGATCCCCGAAAGGGGAAATGATGATTTTTTCTAATGGAAAAAAAAATGTCGAGCTGGTTAACGACGAAATATCAGAAGCGGCCATTTTGTTTTTCGAGATGACGTTTTCGCTCGCTTGCAAATAATCGGCTGCTTAAAATTCGCAATCGCTTTCCGTTTTTTGGTTATATGGGTCAATTTCGCTAAGCGAATAAAAATCGCTTTTCGCATTGGCTTTCGTTATTCGCTCAGTGTGAACTAAGCTTTAAGCCGGAAATGGTTAGAGACTTTAGAAGCGATTCCTATCGCTCGCGAGAATTTTAACAGAGCGACGTGATGGGACGTAATACTTCTGCTTCGGCGGGCGTAACGAATTCATAAAAATTCGAATTGTCGGGGTTAACTAACTTAAAAAAAATTTTTTTTCGTTTATTTATATAAGTCGTATAACGTTAAATTACTTAGCCTTTCTAACGGAAAAAAATAAAACTACGTATTATTTCGGTTAAAGTTAGGTCAACGTTATTGAAATATTAATCGAAGAATAATTGATAAGGAGGGGGCGAAAACCCCCAAATTATAAACCCGGTAAAACTGTCGATTCGGGGAGAGGGTTTCCACTCCCCAATCGATAGACTCTTCTTTGTGATAAATAAATGTCTAATGAACCACACGCTACGGAATCGGACTCACGTGACCGGAAATGACGTACGTGCAGTCGCGTGTGATACATAGTCGCGAGTCTCTGAGCGACGCGAGTTAACCGCGAGTCTCTGAGCGACGCGAGTTAACAGAGCGACGCGATCCGAGTGTCACGTGATCCGCGGCCGGCACTCCATTGGCCGCGGAGGCGAATTTTCGGGGGGTTATATCTCGTGAAGGGTCGCGTTTAGGGGTGTGGTTCATTAGACATTTATTGATCACAAAGGGGGGGTCTATNTATAAATAGTTCACACTAAGCTCGATTCGCTGGCGAAGGCGAAAAACATAGCGAATAACATTTCAGACAACGTCGTTTCCAGCGAATTTCGAAAATCGCTTCGAAGTTCGGAACTGATCCCCAAAAGGGGAAATGATGATTTTTCCTAATGAAAAAAAAATGTGGAGCTGGTTAATGACGAAATATCAGAAGTGGCCATTTTGTTTTTCGAGATGACGTTTTCGCTCGCTAGCAAATAATCGGCTGCTTAAAATTCGCAATCGCTTTCCGTTTTTGGTTGTATGGGTCAATTTCGCTATGCGAATAAAAATCGCTTTTCGCATTGGCTCTCGATATTCGCTCAGTGTGAACTAAGCTTTAAGCCGGAAATGGTTAGAAACTTTAGAAGCGGTTCCTATCACTCGCGAGAATTTTAACAGCGACGTAATGGGACGCAATACTTCTGCTTCGGAGGGCGTAACGAATTCATAAAAATTCGAATTATTGCTAAGTAATCTTTATAACTGAAACTAAAAATCGTATCAATATTTTAATTTATTTTATTATCAAAACATTACATACAATGAAGTCATGTTTCTATTGTATTTTTAGTAACCAAAATGTGGTATTAATTTGCATCTTNTTGGCCGCGGAGGCGAATTTTCGGGGGGTTATATCTCGTGAAGGGTCGCGTTTAGGGGTGTGGTTCATTAGACATTTATTGATCACAAAGGGGGGGTCTATCGATTGGGGGGGTTCCCCCCTGTCCCCCCTCAAAGATTCTTACCGTAAATTTCATTATTCTTTTTTCATTTGTATAATATATGCATTCTTCTTTTCGGTACAAACAAAGAAGTTTTAGGTCTACGTTATCACGTGGTCGGTCTCTCCACGTGGTTGACCTTTCGCCCCTACCTGACCCTAATTCGGCAATTTCTTCGCTGTTTTTTCGAGTCTAGTCTGGACAGATCCTAGCGTTTATTCTTTATGATTTTATGCTATTCGTTACTTTTCGATGGTGTTCTGGATAAGTAGGCTGCGGGCCGCTTTTCGGGCCATCGTTTTCGGCCTCGTCAGTCCATCGCGACTTTTTTTCTCAAGCGCCTCTTTGGCTTATGGTCATTCTGTGGTTTTATCGGTTTGTTGGTATCCGATCTGCTATTTTGGGCACTTTGCAATGGAGCCGTCTGAATCAACCCCGATTTTGGATCTGCCTGTTACTTCATTCGAGGCTGATCGCCCTTTCGAGGACACTATCCTCAGAGAGGCGGGCCTGCACTTGAGAAGAATCATGGACCTCATTCCTGCGATGTGCAAGAATGGCCCAAATTTGGTGGATAAGAAGGAAATTAAGGATCGGGTGCTGCAATTACACTGTTGTGTTAGTCAAACGTACGGTGTCCTGCGCGAACTACGGGCTAATCGCGCAGCTACTCAGGATCAGGAACCGGCTACTATGGAAAGATCCTACGCCCAAGCAGCGAGCGCGAATTTAAATGTGAGACCCAGTCGGGCCACGAAGACTGTATCTGATTCACTTTGCACCAAGGTGCAAACCAAGGGGGTTGGGGGCACCCACGCGGTCCTCTTGTACCCCAAGGTTACAGACATGGACAAGAAGCCAAACATGGACGAAGTTACGTTCAAAATCATTGAGGAAATCAAACCAGAAAAGCTACGGATAACGGTGAAAGCAATTAGAAAGGTTAAGGCAGACAGGGTGTGTGTTCGTGTTGGCAGCAAAACAGGATGGTAGGATACTGAAAGAGGCAATAAATGCCATTCCAGAATTACAACAAACGGTCAACTGCAAAATTTCAGAGGGGAGAAGACCTAGGGTCATACTCCTCAATGTCCCAAATTACATTGTGGAGGACGAGATAATCAACGTAATGGTAGAACAAAATAAGATCTGGGGCACCATGAAGCCTGAAGAAGTGAATGCATCCTGGAAGATCAGTACAATACTAAATCATGGAAGAATTAAAGAGAATTGTAGGAATATAGTATTATCTGTCACCCCTGGAGTAAGAAACGTGCTTGTACACCACAGACATATCTCCATGTCCTGGTCCACAATCTATGTTGATGACTTTATACTGGTGGTGAGATGTTTTTGATACTGCGGTTTCAACGTGACTGTTCAAACGACAGCAGATGCAGCCACTGTTCAAAAGGACATACCTACAAAGAATGTGACCGTCGGCACAAAAATCCAACCTGTATTAACTGCAAAAAAGCAAATGAAAGTCTCCCAGAAAGTAAAAAATACTCTGTCCACCACAATTCATTCAGCATAAACTGTCCAATACTTCAGCGACTGAAACAGCAGATGATCAATAAACCCATTATGGCCTATAGTCAACTCACAAATATTAATCAGAATACCAACACCGACGGTCAACAGACCAGGGACTTCAGCAGCAACAATCACAATCATAAGGTCACAACTATCAAGATCCTGCAGCTGAATGCTCAGAAAAGTAAGGCAGCCAGCTCCCTACTAATCAAAACGGCAAACGACACCAAGAGTGATATAATCACGATCCAGGAGCCCTATACGATTGAAAATATGATCGTCAGGTTTGGAAACTGGCAGGTCCTAGCGGGCCACAGCAACACCAGACCAAAGTGTGGAATTATTGTTTGTAATAGCAAGCTAGACATCGCACATCCCTCACCTCTGTTCGGACAGGATCTGCAATGCAGTTATTCAGCAACACAGGCTGATTTACATCATTAGTGCCTACTTCTCTCCAACGATGAGGATGAGAGATGTATTAATGAGTTGGCTACCACAATCAGGAAACTTGATAGCAAAAGCGTTATTGTTTCTGGTGATCTCAATGCCAAATCAGCCATATGGTTCCACACTCGGAAGGACAAAAGAAGACGCAAATGACTTGATATCTACAAATATGATCACTCATCCTACTTTCCATACTCCATATGCAGAGGGATGGACTGATGTCGGCGTGGTGTCCACGAAATTTAGCCACCACATCATAAATTGCAAAAAACCTTGTTGGTCACATCGGCCAGTGACCACTGGTATATTCTCACTAAGAGAGCGTCGAGAAGTGAATTAGTGAAGCTGTGTGAAAGTTGGACTCCAATTTAGCGCTAAGATTCTTTCTTGGATTTATTTTTTTAGTGAATTGTTATATATTGCCAAAACCAAAATTGAAAAAGGATTCTAGTGATGTCAATTTTATCGAAATTAAACCAAAATTTTAAAAAGTTATGACAATTTAAAAATTTCAAATTTCAACATTGTTAATCTGGTATGCAGAAACCGATCAACCAAAAAGAAGACGTGGCTATAATCCAAAAGTTTGTGTGAGAAACCTCTCAACATTTGGGGTCTTTCAGATTCATGGTTCCTCTAGAAAAAGTTTTTTAAGTCTTAAACAGTAAGTTGCATCAAGTCTCTGGCAAACCATCTGTAAATTATCGATAACTTGTTTGACAAAAACTTTAACAGTAACTTTCTTTGTTGCAGTCGAATACGTGTTGTTATTTATATATTGTATACTGGCACAGTGCAATGACCTCTTAATCAATGCAGTAACTTTCTTAAATCCTGTAGCTGTAATATTAATAAAATTAGAGCAAATTCGACTTTAAACTCTTTTCTCTATTGAACTTTAATTGGTTGTTAAGATAACATGAGTGTCGGATCTCCAAACAGTTGTTGACACTGTCTAACGTGGATTGGTAAGGTGTCGCGTCCGTGGGAACCCGCCTCTGTCCCGCCAACGGGCATGAAAGCCAGCGTCGGCCNTCCAAGTGCCAGGGATTTTCAATGAGCAACAGGATATTTTTTATTTTTCTTAGATCATGAAATCTATGTTTAAATTCCTCAGATAACGCAGTTAAATAATTTGAAAAAATTGTAGTTTTCTGGAGAAATATTAATACCGTCCTGCTTAGCGTTTGTCATGGTTGGAAAATTTCGCAGTATTTTGTTTTGTATTTCTTTGTAATAAATGTTTAATTTTTCTTCGAAGGCAAATATTTTATTCGCCATCTGTGAAATTATTTTATTTTTACCCTGCAAACCAGTATTGAGACTGTTAAGCTTCTCTGTAATGTCGCACAGAAACGCTACAATAAACCACCATTCATTATTTTGCAGTTCACTGTAAATTTTATTATTTTGCTGTAAAAACCGCATTATTTCTTCTCGCAAAGAAAAAAACCTTTCCAGAACTTTCCCCCTGCTAAGCCGACGTACCGAGGTATGTAAAAGAACATCATTGTATTGACTACCCATTTCCTCTAAAAGACTTTTAAATTTTCTGTGGTTCAGTTCTCGTGCTCGGATATAATTCACTATATTTATGACAGTTTTCATCACAGTATCTACTTCAGGATGAATACGTGAAGCCAAGTTTTCCTGATGAATGATGCAATGAAATATTATTAGATTTGTCAAATCATAATTCTGTTTCAGTAGAGAAATAAATCCATTTTCAGATCCAGTCATTGAAGGATACCCATCAGTACACACACAAACTAATTTTTTTATATCTATCTTGTTCTGTTCTAGAAAATTGCAAATAGTATCGAGATAATCTTTGCCCCTGGTCTGGCCCTTCATTGGAAGGAATTTCAAAAATTATTCGCAAATTGAATTTTGTACTGTACAATATCTAACGAAACCCTTGTGATATCGCTGAAATATTCATGCTAGAGTCAAAAGCTAAACTAAAAACTTGCAGTTTTTCAAGTCTTCAATTACGTTATCACAAATATGGTTTGCATCATCTTCAATACGTCTAACACAGGTAGAATCTGAAAGCTGG